AGCGGTTCAAAAGGAAAAATGTCATTTTGGGCCTATTTTGTAGTTAGAGAGGCAGACAAGACACTATTGTGTGAGTGAAATCTGGTCTTAAGTAAGTTTCCCTCAGAGAGAGCTCCAGTTACTACTTAAGTGTCAGCAGAGTTGCTCCTTGTGTTGAGGAATATGTTTCTGACATACAGACAGACCTCTTCACTGTGTTTGGTTTTTTTTTTTCCCCCAGCCTCTTTGTGTGCTATATTACTTTAAGAGGAGTACTTTGAAAGCAGTGCAGCTTTTACGAGGGCAAATTGACTCTATGATCAGTAAAGTATAAGTCAGAACCACGCTCATTTTTCAGTACTTAACTGTTGTTATTCAAGAGACTATCACAGATAGACTATGTTGTAATCCTCAGATCATGCTGGTTTTTTTCTTATGCCAAGAGCTGATCAGGTATTGTAGTACCCAGTCTTTAGTTGGTACTTAACTGCATTTAATATTAATAGCACATCCCTAGAAAATGCATTCAAAAAGTAAAATGTGCATGTAAGATAATGTATGTATACTAACATTGTTGTACTGCTCATAATACCGAAATCTCTGCAGGTGTTAATAATAAATAGAGCTCATATCCAAAACCTTTCTTGTCCCAATATTCTTCTCTTCAACTCCTGTTTCATATAAGTAATGTTATTACTTATATGGGTATAATTCCTTTTCTGATGGTTCCGAGCTTCTTTTTTCCTGTTGTAGCAACGATACATTTATAAGGGCAAGTAACCACTGTCTCACACTTACGCTAATGTTGTCAACATATTTCAGTGATATATTGTTGAAATGCATATTTCTTTTTGTTCTAGGGTATGGATCCAATAACTCGTCAAGTAGGACAACACATAGAAATGGAACCGGAATGGGAAGCAGCATTTACATTGCAAATGAAATTAACACTTGTTATTTCAATGATGCAGGACTGGTGTGCATTAGATGTAAGTTGTTTTTCCATACAAATATGTAAAGGCAAAAAACCCCCAAACCTTAATATGTATAACAATTGAGCTAAATGCGTAACTGCACCATAAGCCAAGATTATCTTCTCTGAGCAAGTGCAAATCTTTTCTGTATTTAAACACATCTTTCATGGCTTGAACTGACCAATTCATAAGAATGTGGGTAAGTCTTTTAAAATAATATTGCAGAGGTTTCTGTCACACATTCGAAAGTTGTGATCACCACAACACCAACAAGTTATAATTTTCAGAGAAGAGGGAGTAGAGGAATAGGCCCTGGATCTATCAAATGCTGCCTGATTATAAATCAGGTTACTGATCCATAACTGTTTCAAATTTTAGGAGTACAGAACGTCAGTATGGTAAAATATGGCTGTGGAACAAGTGATCCTAGAGTATTTGAACAGTCAAGCTGGCTTTAATCTGTCACTGTTAGTTAATGTGCAGGTTTTACTATCCTAGCATGATCATTGCTCAGAAAGTTCCTGTAATATCAGTTAACAACAAATCCCCCCAAAAACTAGTGGTTGTTTATCTAATCAGACATACTGGTATGAGTTTTGCAATCTCTGCCTTCCTTAATTCAGCTCCTTTTGTTGGATTCCTTATCTTAATCTTGCAGGACTGTTAATAATGGTAAAACCCCCAAACCTGTCAGACCTTTTTGTCGGCTGTATTATTTTCCAGAGCTCTGTCTTTTTCATAACCTCTGTAAACTGCGATCTTTCTTTTAGGAAAAAGTGTTAATTGAAGCTTACAAGAAATGCCTGACTGTCTTGATGCAGTGTCATAGTGGTTTTACTGATGGAGAACAGCCTATTGTTCTCAGCATGTGTGGACATTCAGTTGAGACCATCAGATACTGTGTTTCTCAGGAAAAAGTTAGCATTCATCTCCCAGTTTCTCGTTTACTTGCAGGTATGAACTAGTTTAAAAATATTTCAGGAAATGCATAACGTTGTATAAATGCGATTTGTATTTGTGTGTGCATAAGGAACCACACAACAGTTGTTTAAAGCCTGAATAGGATGCATTTTGACCATTTTCTAGCTGTTTGATAGTCTCTAGGCAAAATGTTCCCAAGCATTGGAGAAGTTGTTATCGTTTCAGGCCTGGAGGGGATTGTCTCATGCCTCTGGATTTGTCAGTGGGGGTGTGTTGTATGCAGTTACTGCTGCTTTTGCTGCTTGAGCGTTGTGAAAGAAATGCAACAAAATATGGACTGTAGTTGACTGTTTTGAAATATGTTTAGCTGTTGGGTTGAATAGACTAATCAACATTCTGTTAGAGAGCAGATTTATCATACAGATGTGTCACCAGAAAATTAAGCTGTCTTTCTCTGTATATTGTGCCTCTCTTGTTCAGCAGTTGTGTTGAAAAAAGGTTGATGAATTTTAGTTTACAGATTCAGACAGTCATATGATAAAAATAAATTCACAGGTAATGAAATGAAAAAGGTGACTCCTAGGTAAAAGACTGTGCAGCTCAGCGTCGAATAACTTTGGATGGTTGAATCTTTAAGCAAAACTCTTGTAACTCTAGAACAAAGCAAACCAGAAAACCTTTATGTGTTTTGTAGGGGCCTCATTGTATTTCCTGAGGTATTTTATAAACCTCTGAGGACTGATAGAAAGGATGAGGTATCTATTGTTAATTTGTCCTGATAGATCAAGGACTCTTGTCGGTCGCTGAGGGGACGCGACAGAGTCAAATAAAAGGGAAAAATCTCACTTGAACTGCAGATTTTATACAGATACAATGGGAAAACTAATTCTCCTAAAACGTATGCTTTGTAATGTGTCTCTTCAGACACATAAATAGCTGTGTAGCTCCAGGGTGATAAATCTGCAGACTTACTCATAGCTGTGTCCAGAAAATGGTCCAATAGTAAATTAGATGACCTTTTGTGTCCTATTTGAATTATATAAAATACTGTGTGTAATATTATGTATGTATGTTTCATGTATTTATGTAGGCTTGCATGTTTTGCTGAGTAAAACTGAAGTGGCATATAAGTTTCCAGAGCTGCTACCCCTGGTATGTAATTAAATGTGACGTATTCATTAAATAGAATTATTAATACTGAAGGTGAAATTGGTCATGTAAGTGTAGGATATTATCAAATAAAATGCAGCACCTTTTTGCTATGAATTCTGTTCAGAGAGACTATCTTTAGTAGATAAAATTACCTCTTAGAAGATTAATATCTAGATATTTATGACTGGAGAATAAGCAATCAGTATTGCGCTCTTAAATAACTTGAGACTCAGGTTAGAGGTTTGTATTTTGTTCTTCATGCATTACCTTCTTTTTGTAGTTAAAACTGTTTTTAGGAGCTCCTAGCAGGACCTGATTTCTTCTCCTTGGCCTACGTTCTAAGTTTCTTCCCCAGCTTTTTCTTGCTTCTTGCATGTTCTTATTGATATGCTGTTTTTTTGAAGGGGAAGTTAAAAAGAACAAGATAATTTAAGAGAAGAAAACATAAGTGAGAGAAGAAATATCCCTGTCTTTTGAAAGAACCTTTGAATGAAAGCAAGCAGATGACAATGTTATTAAATTCATGGTGTTGATGTTTTAAAATACAAAATGTACTGTCTGTAAACTAAAGCCCTTTTGGAGTACTTCTGTGCAGCAAAGACAGAATGTAAGGTTGGTTAACAGCAATTGGATAGATTATGTATAGGCTTATGAAACCTTTGTAATACGTGTATTGGATTTGCTTCTCTTTTCTATTGCCAAAATATTTTAATGATCACAAATATCATCCACCTTAATTTTGGTCCCATTTTCTTTTCTCTATATATATCAAAATATTGCATTTTCTTAATGCAGAGTGAACTTAGCCCGCCAATGTTAATAGAACATCCTCTACGATGCCTAGTCCTATGTGCCCAAGTGCATGCAGGGATGTGGAGAAGAAATGGGTTCTCTCTTGTTAATCAGGTAAGTACATAGTAGCTGTAGAATGACTGTTTTCTGGTAACTCCCATAAGATAATTTCGGACCTCAAAACCTCACCTTTCTGTATTGATTTCACATTTCACTTACATAAATCTTATGGGAGGCAATGCGAGGTAGGCATTTGCATCAGCATTTGCATCTTCTGAATATTGGTGCTTTTAAAACTGGTCTTTGATTTCTTAGTCAGAAGTTCCTTTTTTGTTTCAGGACTGCCACAGTGCTTAGTGAACTTAGTGCTCTGTGCATAAAGAAGTTTTAGTATGATGCAGCTAATGACTCTTAGCCTTTTTACTGTATGCTGTCCAACAGCAGCACGGAGTGCAGAATTAGATCTGTGCATCTTTGGTAATGCTGTCATCACCTTCACCTAAAAGTGTCTCAAATATAAAAATAGGTGCTAAATATTACTATTTATTTATGTTTATAAAGTAATTGAAATCTGAAGACCACCCAGAAGTGTTAGAACCAGTGTAGAACTGAGTGTTTCTTGGCTTTTATCTCTCATACTTCTTTCATACTTCTGGAGACTAGCTGTGTCCATTTCTAAACTTTTATTCTCTGTGTTTGTACGAATTAGGTCTTAGGTGTTTCAAGCATAATAACTATAAAATGGGTACTGCAGTGTCAGTGCCACCCACCAGGGTGATGGTCTAAAGTGATTTTTCTCAGCAAGACATAGATTACAACAGAAATAGGATTTAGTTCTGTGAGGTGTTAACTTGATTTATTTGTAAGAAACTTCCTTCCCTCCCACAAGCCCCCATCTTCATTAGATAATTGCAATGCACATGTACTAGGAGGCTGAATTAAGCTGCTCAAACATATTATATTCTGACATTTCTTGCCTCTTAACCTGAAAAATCATTGTAAGGTGATGTCTTTCATTGTCATTGTTAAAGCAAAAGGAACTCTAGTTATGTACAATTATAGCAGCGCCCATATTACTATAGACACCCATCAAATCTGAAATTTCAGCATAGCTTTTGATGGAGAAATAAGTCTCTGTCTTAATTTCCCCCGGTTGACAGCATCTTGAAGTTAAGAGCCTGGTTTAGTTTAGGTAATATGGCTCCCACAGTCTGGAAGTCCTTTCTCTTTCCTTTGGCTATGGAGAGCTCGTGTTCAGCCAGGTCCCTTGGGCTGTTTTCCCTAAAGATAGGAATAGGCATCTGTGTGTGGATTATAAGTATGGAGAAGAGAGGGGAAGGCATGCCTAGCTCTCTTCCATGTAATTCTGGTGAGAAATGGTGTGTCCCTAGCGGAAAGGTTGGCATGCTGAAGATTGTTCCCAGTCCCAAGTAGAAACTTGACAGCCTCTTTATTTTCCCTTAAATGTGGTAGAATCAACCTTTCCTCCTTTTCAGTGCTGTGCAGTGATTGTGGTGTTGCTGCTGCTTGGTGCAGTACTGTTGAGTTCACTCACAGGATGGTTTGGGTTAAGTATGGTTCTATCACAATATTAACATTTTGCTGAAACTGGTAATTCCTGAAAGATTTTATCTCAAGTAATTAAAGAGCAATTCATGGAGCAATGAAAGAACATTTCTCCAATTGCAAGGGCTTTCTCTCCTGTGAATTTCAAACACTTAATTGCTAAACAAGTAGATATATTAAAACATAGCCCAAAGAGGTCTGCAAGATTTTTTCTTTCTAAGTGTATGCAATCTAGACGTTAGATAATACAACCCTGTCAGCAACTATGCTTGTTTTGTGCTATATAAAAATGCTTTTTTGCATACAAATATAGTTGTATAATTTTTTCAAATCACAGATTAATTTTTTGTTTACTAATACTGTATAACAAAGTTTATTTTTCCAGATTGAAAATAAGTCTAGATTAAATATGATGTTTATTAATGTGATTTGTTTGTTTCAGATTTATTACTATCACAATGTGAAGTGCAGGAGAGAGATGTTTGACAAGGACATAGTAATGCTTCAGGTAACCACATGTACCAGTTTGCATTTTTATCAAGCATTTTCAGGATATGTGTGTATGGTTTGGTTTTTTTTTTTTTTCTCCATCAGAACCTTTTAATGACAAGGAAAAAAGTCAATTTTTGTGGAAGGATCTCTATTTTTTTTATTCTGTCTGTGTCTTTATGGGATAATTTGTAAAGGAAATGCTGTTGTAATCCTTGTTCTTAAAATATACTGTGGAAAGTTCAGAATTTTCTATGTAATATATGAAGCTACATCTTCAAGAATGTAATTTTTTAACTAATGGGTTGTGCTGTACTGATGGTTGTGTGACTCTGCAGGTCTTCAGTAATGTACTTAATCTATGTTATCTCTTCTCCCTCCCGTCGAAATTGGCATCTAAAATGCTGGGTAGAAAGTGGAATCCCATATAGTAGTTTGTGATTCTTTTTCCTTCAGAAGAAGTTTTACAAATCTGGCAGTCTGCTTAGCTCTGACAGAGAGGTCTGATGCATTACCTCTATGCTGAGAGTGACGAAAGCTAAAATTTGTGACTCAGGGTGCATAATTCACTGAGGCAGCAAATCCTTTCTCAGGAAGTCCCTCAAGTCTTACGTGGAGTTAGCAATACCCAGTATGATGCATATGTCCTGAGTTACTTCTGCTTTCAGACATGTTTCCCTGAGGCTTCATCTGCTCCTGATTTTTTTGATTATCTGCAGCTGCCCATTTGGGTAGATATGCTCCAGTTTTGTTGGAAATTATTCTGTCTTAAAGATAGTCCCATTAGCAATAGTAAACTAAAGACAAATATTTATAATTGGCTAATTTAGGTACATTGTTTAATAAACAGAAAGAATTTTGGCCAGTAGTTTTGAGAAATGAAAGTAAATGTTTGTGGCCACATTGAAACATTAGTGTCCTTTCCAAGAAGGTTTGGGAAGCCTTGCTAAAGTCTTCAATGTTTGTTTTGGGGATTAGAATTTGTTCTTAAAATCTTCGTGCTATATACTAAATGATATTATGCCTTCTAAATGTTGAGCTGGCAGGAACAGGATTGTTCCAACCAAAAGTCTTTCACTGAATTTTATTTAGAGTATTTGAGATAGAAGGAATAACCCTGAATATTTTACACTTAAAAGTGCATCAGAAATTATTGATAAAACCTAGGTTCCTGCTTGCAAACGTGCTGTCACTTGTGTTATTGGAGTCCAAAGAGCGTAAACTTAAGTAATTAGAGCTTCATGCTCAGGATAGAGGAATGAATTTCATAAAGAATATACTGTGAATGTTGTATATAAATATACCAACATGCTATAATAACACCCAATCTATTTTCTGATTATAATCACTTTTTTCTTTAATAGACAGGTGTGTCTATGATGGATCCAAATCACTTCTTGATGATAATGCTGAGTCGCTTTGAACTTTATCAGATATTTAGTACTCCAGACTATGGCAAAAGATTTAGCACAGAAAATACTAACAAGGTATTTATGGACTACTGCAGTAGAAAATCTGCAGTTTGGTTTTCAAAAGTGTAACAGATGATGTTGTACTGAGACTGTGCAATTGATTGATAAAAAAGCAAAACCTATCCTATTTTAATTTAGTTTGACCGGTTTGAAATATGCATAAATATTTTCACCTGTCAGACTGGTAAATGTTGGAAACTGATGCATAATTTTTGCGTTCTAGAAGAAGGAGAAAAGAAGAGATCTAATTGTGGCTTTCCAGTATCTGAAGGGGCCAAGAGGGAAGATGGTGGGGGACTGTTTATCAGGGAGTGTAGTGACAGGACAAGGAGTAATGGGCTTAAGCTAAAGGGTCGGTTTAGATTAGATGTTAGAAAGAAATTCTTCACTGTGAGGGTGGTGAGGCTCTGGAACAGGTTGCCCAGAGAGGTTGTGGATGTCCCCTCCCTGGAAGTGTTCAAGGCCAGGTTGGATGGGGCTTTGGGCAACCTGGTCTAGTGGAGGGTGTCCCTGCCCATGGCAGGGGGGTTGGAACTAGATGATCTTTGAGGTCCCTTCCAACCCAAACCATTCTATGATTCTATGAAGTTTAAGGCAGTTGTGGTTGCATTTCAGCATAGCTTAATTTGGGAGCGCTAAGAGTGAAAACAGACAATGTTTTGAAATGCCAAAAAATATATTCAGCATATGGAATTATTTTTTACCCTTAATTGCAAAATGTACATTTTTTTGTTTGTTTTAATTCAGGATGTTGTTCAACAAAATAACACTCTTATAGAAGAGATGCTATACCTCATTATAATGATTGTTGGTAAGTTCAGAATATATCTAATCAATTTTTAAAATACAGTCTGGAGTTAGCATTCTTCATTGTCATCTCAAGTTCAGCTCTGTTTTGAACTTCCTGTAGTTCTGACTTCTTTCCTAGGAGAAAAGCCTTGAAACTAGCTTAAACTAACATAATGAATTTTTGAACACTGGTGGGTGAACACAAGATTTCACAGAAGATACTTATTTTACAGTCTTTTTCTTTAAGTTGCAAAAGAAGAGAAATACATTTTTAAAATCATATAAAAAATGTCATATTTTATTTTTACAGGTGAAAGATTCAGTCCTGGAATAGGACAGGTCAATGCAACAGATGAAATCAAACGAGAGATCATCCATCAGCTGAGCATCAGGCCAATGGCTCACAGTGAGTTGGTGAAGGCATTACCTGAAGATGTAAGTAATTTGGGAAGGGGGGTGGGGGGAAAGCAATTTCAACTTTCAACTTCAGCTGATTGCTGAAAATTTTTCTTATGCAAGTTTATGCCACTTAATGCGGAATGGATGGAATGGGAGCAGGATGATTATGCTAAGAGTAAGTTTAGCATGAGTACAGATTAGTAGTTGTCATGGAGAAGGTAGGAAAGAGCTATAGAAGAATAAACAACATATGAAAGAGGCAGGAGCCTGAGAACTTCTTCAGCTCCTATCTCTTTTTAATACTGTTTCTTATCAGGCCATCTGGCTGGCAGTCTCTGCTGTCTGCTTGTAAACCCTGAATAGACGTATGGAAGTGGGTTGTTGGAACCATCCAGAAATACAAGCTGTTATATTTTAATGCCTAACAATTACTGAAAGGACATGGATTCAGACACAGTGTAATGACTTGTGTAACATAAATGCTTCATTTGCATGGACAGAAGCATTTATCTGAATTCTGGTATGAGTGGTTTTGTATCATAGCAAAGTTTGGGTGGTTTTTTTGGTGGTTTTTTTTTTTTTTTAGAATATTTTTCAAGTAATCTTTCAAACATGATTTCCAAAAGCAGTCAAAATTCAACAGTTAATATTTTACTGGTAGTACTTTTAGTGATAAATTTTGAAAGATTTTTCGTTGTTCTAAATATTGTAAACTTAGACAATTTGAAAAGTCAAATTTTAGGGTAGCATTATGACTTTTAAAAAATAATTTAAAGTTGGATGAAAGAACAAATTAGGATTTAAGCTAAAGTTCTAAATTGTATTGTCAGGCTTAAATACTTTTTCCCTGGCCTGTTAACTGCTGTGAGTATGTATTGCAGGAAGGGGATGGGAATATTAAAAGATAATTTGTGTATGAAATAGTGTTACATCTTTGAGCTGATTTCTCCTGCTGCCTTTTGTGGTGGTTTTACCATTTTTCAGTGACTTGTCTTTTTAGCTTTCCTATATTTATTTCATTTTAAAGGCCTAGAAACCAGAAATATTGACTGCATATTCCTAAAACACACAGAGTAAGCTTATTTAGAGTTTTCTTCTGTTACATTTACATCCGAGTTTGTTAGGACAGGGCCAAACAGTAAAAAATAAGCACTTAAAATGGCATGATTTTTTAAAAGTACTTTTTGCAAAGATGGTATTCCTGAATGTATTTTCATGTTAAGTGCTTTAGCATTCTCTTGAGCGCCAGTAAAATGACTTTGTGCAATGGTTTTGCATCCTTACCTAGTGTTGTATGATATTTGAATGTGTTTAATCCAAGAACTACAGTAACACATTGTCTTGCCTTTTCACTCAATGTAGGAGAACAGAGAGACAGGAATGGAAAGTGTGATTGAAGAAGTGGCATGTTTCAAGTATGTTTCCCTTTAATATTTCAACTTGAAAAATGGAATATCTAAACTAGTGAAAATGAGAGAATAGAAGAAAGGGGGCTGGGTCATGGTGTTTTCCCATGGCTTTACTCATGCGCGTCATTCTTAATACTGTGACTT